ACTTATCTCCTTCGATGGCATGGAAAAGTTTACGAAACAAAGCAATTTTTAGTACAAGATTAATAATAATCATTCCGTTTTGTGTGCGCAGCATAAATTTTACCTATCAGCGCCTTATCGTTTGGTCTAAGTTATTGCAATTTCGGAATTTCCTTCTGAAAAGGGAATTCCAAACAGATTTCAGTCCCTAACAAGATTTTGAAAATTAAAATTATTTTAATGTAATTTTTTTAATGTTTCTAACGATTTAAAAGTATCTTAAAGATATTTCTACAATACTTTGTTATTTGATTAAAAATGGTTTGTTTTTATTTCATTTTTAATTCGTTTTAAAAATATTGTTTCGTTGATCAACATTAAAAAAAGGTTTACAAATGAAGTCAAAGCAATTGGTATGATTTTTTAAATATTTATTTAATGATTTTATTTATTTCTAAATAATTTTCAAATTTAAAAAAGCCCACATTTTTTATAGTTTTTTATTTGTTTTCTTTAAAAAGGGTTTTTTAAAATGGATCTTAAATTAAAAAATTCATTTTCAACAAAAAACTAATATTTTTCCCAATACTTTCGGCTTGTCTTATTTTCATGTTTTTACTTTTTCTATATTTTAATGAAATAAATCCTACGTGCAATACTAAATCTTCAAAGAAACAGGTGTTAAGACTGTTGAATATTTCCCCAATGAATCTGCCCAAATTGGGAATATCTTATCTGCAATCGCATTCCTCACTGACACTCGACTTTTTTGGGGGGCAGAGACTTAAGACTTAAGATTTTTGAGAGCCGAGAACTGAGAACTGAGATTCGAGATACGTATCTGAAGCATTTGGCACGTGGGTGGCCGGCAAATGCGGAAGCGTCACTTGACGATGGCCAAATATGCGCCTGTAAAAGCGTACACATATGAATCTGAATCTGAATCTCTGTCCCAATCTCAATCTGAATCTGGATCTGTATCTGTATCGCGCGGTGAGCATCTGCAGTGCCTCATAATCATTCAAGTGGGTGTCTTCAACATGAATGAAATGGAATTGGAATTGGAATCAGAATTGGAAGAGCAGCAGTGCGGCTACAAAAAATCTCGTTTAGTCACTTTGCGAAAAGCACAAAACAGAACAGCACCGACACAAATGTGGTTGTATCTTCGCATCGGTATCTGTATCTGTATCCGTATCTCTGGCTGTATCTGTATCTGTGTGCCTGCAGAGCAATCGAATCAAGAGACAAACTGGGTAATTGGTTCATTATATAGTAGAAGCCAACGACATCCGCTCGTTAATGTAAATTACACAATAGTTTCGAATCATTTTTTTTTTCGTCTGCGCTTAATTTATCATTTCATGTTTCTCCGGCTCTGCAGAGGCGATAAAAACCTGCGAATAGGGATGTATTTCTGCAATCGATAAATTTCTTACATGATTAATATCGAAAAAATCGAAAACCAGCGTAAGAATGTTATCAAAGAAATTAATTAATATATGAACTATTTGTAGCATCCCTACAAATAGCAATAGACAAATAGCATACAATACACAGACTAGCAATATAAGCGGAATACTTTTGTTTAGGAGGTCTTCAACAGGATCTTTGGTAAACATATAGATTATAATAGAGAGTCACAATACACCTTTATCGTTTTCAAAGAATTTGTTTGTGACAACATAAAGAGGATAGGGCTCAAGTTAATGTAGACATAAACAAATACATCAAAATAACCTATTCAAATGGGCTCAGAAACAACAGTGAACTCCAATTTCCTCAGGAACTGAAACCGCTAGGCGCCTTAAAAATTCTTGTATAAAGAAATTATGTCATAATCAACAAATAAACAAAATGCGAAAAAGGTTTCTGATTTATTATTCTAGTGATCTTAAATTTCCCTGGACCTGGGGTCTAAACCATAATTTCCTATCCATAACAAATATTCCAATGGGCTAAGAAACAACAGTGAGCTCCAATTTCCTCAGAGACTGTAACTTCTAGGCGCCCTAAAAATGAAGATATATCATATTCGACGTGGAATCTAAAACCATAATTTCCCCTCAATAATTTCCCCTCAATGAAAACTATTCAAAACTATTCTGTGGGCTTATAAATAACCGGGGACTCCAATTTCCTCAGAAACTGAAACCGCTAGGCGCCTTTAAAATTCTTCTATAAAGAAAATATATCATAATCGACAAATAAACAAATTGCGAAGAGGTTTCTAATTTATTTGTCTAGTGATCTTAAATTTCCCTGGACGAGGAATCTATAACCATAATTTTCCCTCCGTGAAAACTATTCAAATGGGCTTAGAAATACCAAGGGGCTTTGATTTCCTCTGAAACTGAAACCTCTAGGCGCCTTAAAACAGAAAATATATCATAATCGACGAATAAACAAATTGCGAAGGGGTTTCTAATTTATTTGTCCAGTGATCTTAAATTTCCCTGGTCGAGTAATCTAAAACCATAATTTTCCCTCCGTAAAAACTATTCAAATGGGCTTAGAAATAACAGGAATCTCGAATTTCCTCAGGAAACGAAACTTCTAGGCGCCTTAAAAATTCTTTTATAAAGAAGATATATCATAATAGACAAATAAACAAATTGCGAAGGGGTTTCTAATTTATTTGTCCAGTGATCTTAAATTTCCCTGAACTGGAGAGGTCCAAACCATAATTTCCTCTCCATAATCCCGCCCGATGTAAACACAGTCTGGAAACTTTCCATTAGTCCGGGGGATCGGAGATAACGGCGAAATAATGCGCAGAGATCGCAGAAAATTGGAAATATAATGGGATTTTTTTTTTGTTTTGGGTTGTTGGATGAGGCTCTACTGTAGTCTAAATTTATTAAACAATTATTGGACATTTTTTGTGTTATTTATTATTGTTTTCCCCCCTTCCAAAAAGAGAGTCGCCGATCGCGAAAGAGAGGCAGCGGAAGAGACAGAGAGAGAGAGGGAGAGAGAGTGATAAAGAGAGGGGCTGATAAAGCAGGAGCAACAACAACAGCAAACAAATACAATGCGAATTATCAGTGGACTGCGTGATATGATTATCAAAAGGTTTCCCATTGCTGTTGTTGTTGCACTGGCTGCTGGCAACGGCATTTCTTAGCATACATATATACACGCACATATATATATACATATATATCAAGAAACATATATATATGGACATACACACGCACATTCCAATACCTGCGAATTCGGAACAGTTTATTCATCCAGTCCATATATAATTAAGACGTTTCCAACGTGCTTGATAGCGCCCAAAAAAATCAGACAACAAATCACAAATATTTAGGGAAATATTTGAGTACCGAATAATGGAAAATATTAACTGAAATCCATGCTAAACAAAGTGTAAATGTTTATCTAACTGCGTAAATCAATCAAGTAAATCATTTAACTTACAATTCTAGGAAATATTCTACAAAGGAACTCGGCTATCCCATATACATATTTATTATTTGGTTTGCAGTTATTCGGTTTACACATAAGAAATAACCATATACATATATAATAAAAATAACCAAAGTTTGATAACACATACAAAACTTGTTTTAAAGGAGATTAATAAAATAATTTATTATAAATAAGTGATCAATCCAAGGAACATAGTTCTATAAATATCGTATAATCATACATATGTATGTAAAAAATGCACTATCATTAACTTTAATCGCTTGATTTTAAGTTTAAACTGCCTTCCAAAAATATAGATGAAATTATATATGAATTCAAAAAAGTTAGGCCTATATAGAGTTTCAAGATCGTTGCCATTAATAGGAAATTTCTTAATAAAATTATTTCTAGCGCCTGAATGACGCAACATTTTTTGATTTCTTTCAATAGTAAATTATATAAGTAGAATAACAGGATAAATAATGAGCTTCTTAGTGTCTTGTTATCACCTTTAATTTTTCCACGGTTTTTTTTTTATATTTTTCCACTTCAAATGTTTTTTTCACCCCGCAGCATTGTTACAACAATGGAATAATGAGACACTTCCAAAGCCACTTCCAAAGGCACTAGCGTAGAAACTATTTTTTGAGGGGGGTGCTAATTTGTTGGATAACTAGAAAAATTGATATATAACTTGACTTTATAATTGATAGAAAGTAGTATTTTCTATTGAAACATTTATTAATTTTCTATTGAAACTAATTTTTCATATCCCAAAATACATTTATTAATTTTTGGAATATGAAAAATTAGTTTCAATAGAAAATACTAGTTTCTATCAATTATAAAGTCAAGTTATATATCAATTTTATAGAAATTAATTTGTTGGTGAATTGGATAATAAATATATTTTGGAGTTTTGAAAATTCAATATCAACAGAAACTATTATTAATATTAATTTGGTACAAATTATAGTATGAATGGGAACTAATTTGAAAGCAAGTTGGATATTATATATTGTTTGATATGGGTAATTTGTTTTTTAATTTCGATTTCTTGTTTTGTAACCCTTTGTTGAATAGTGTATTCTAAGGGGGTTTATAAACCTTTTTTTATTAAGTATTATTTTGTTGGTAACTGGATAGTTGTATATTGTATTGGGGCTGTGAATAAATTTCAACTTTAAAAAGTTTATGGCGTTACATTGTGGGATAGAATCGGTTTTGTTTGATATGTAATATTAACATATTTGAAGTTTTATGGTAATTTGGATTCCTTGTTTTGTAAGCATTTGTTGAATGGTGTATTCTAGAGGGGTTATTAACCTCTTTGTGTTTAATATATGTTATTATTAATAACTCCCTCACGAAAGGGAAGTCTTTTTATTAGTTCGATAACCTCGATTACTTTCCTAATTTTTTTTCGATAGGGGGGCTGTTAACCCCCGGCACCCCCCTGGGCTGCGCCACTGGCCACCTAGCCCACACACACACACACACACGTGCACACCGAACAACTCCCACAGTTCACTTTCATTGATAAACTCGGCTCTCCGCTCTTCTTCTTCTTCTTCGCCATGCAAATCCAATTGTCTGCTACTTACTGTATTTTTTAACGTGGTGTGTGTGACATCAATCAGCATCACTTTGTTGTTTTTGTTTTTGCTATTGTTGCTGCTGCTGCGGCTGTATTATTTATTTTTCTTTTTTTTTATAATTTTTTTTGTGTTGCTCGACAATTGAAGCTAACCAACATTAAACTATAACTTCCTCACAAACACACACACACACACACACATTGCTTGATCTTAACTGCACTCTCAACAAAAACAACAAAAAACAATTTAAAATGCGTATTATATTATTTTAATTCAAAATAAAAGAGGGGCGCGCACATTAAAATATTTTAGTACCAGCAATTCTAGGTTAATTTGCTAAAATCAATTTAATTGCTTAAATCATTTATTAAGCAGTTTATTTTGCCATAAAAAAAACAATTTAATTATCCGATTTACTGCGATCACCAGCACTTTATCATTCAATTAAATAATTAACGCCCGGTGGCTGTTCCGATTTGATTTTTTTTTTGTCATTCCCGATATTTGCCTTATTTTTTTTGGGTTTTTTTATTCCGTTGCGATATTCACGTTCAACAAAAACAACAAAAAATCAATTTAAAATGCTTATTATCATAGTGAATAAAATATTATTTTATTTTATTATTTTATTATCCGATTTACTGCGATCACCAGCACTTTATAACTTTATAATTCAATTAAATAATTAAGGCCCGCTGTGATTTGTTTTTTTGTCATTCCCGTTATTTGTTTTATTTTTTGGGTTTTTTTTTTTATTCCGGTGCGATATTCAAAATTCACCTGCCGGCGAAGAATCGGAGAATCGGAGATCGAAGAATCGTACCGGGCAAACACAATTTTCGAAATGATTCAAAAGTCAGAGCGAGCAGATACTGATATACCGATATACCGAACAGAGTGAGCGCAGTTCTGGTATTTTTACGAGAGCAGCGCCAAATGAGAATTTCTCTCTCTTTACACAAAAACGTAACGTAAGAGTAAAAAAAGGAGATAGCCTCAGCGTAAGTGTCAGTGAAAAAGTGAAAAAGGGAGATGCAAGATCAGAAAGAGGGCGCAAAACAAATTTGATAACCGACACAGAATGAAAATGAAAATGAAAATAGCGTGCGTGCGTTCAATTCGGCGCTGATATGATACTCGCTCTTTCCCTCTCTTCCGAATCGGCTCACTCTCTTCGGCTCTCTTCCGCGTGCTCTTAGCTCATTAAGCGACGCAGCGGTTCGTCGCTCTGACTAACGATAAACTCTTAAACTAAAGGATCGTGGAAAAGTCATGCTAAAAAGTCCCTTGTTTAACACGCATGTTAAAAAGTCCCTGGCATGTTAACAGAAGGCAAGGGAAATATGGGAAAATGTAAGGCAATGTTAAAAAATCCCTTTTAGTCCCATTTCAACTAAAAGCTAAGAAAATATGGGATAATGTTAAGCAACACTCGAAAAAAAACCAACATAAGTTAAAAGTTTTTACTCAAAACTATTTGCTCTATAAGCACCTGATTTTTGTAATCAGTTCCACATACTTTTATTTTATAGAAGAAGTAATGATATATTAAAATTAGGGATCATGTACAAACATTTATATAAGTCATGTTAAAGAGTTCCAAATATTTTAGAGAAAATCAAAGTAACTTTAGGATGATGTTAAGTCACTCTCAAAGAAACAAACATAAATTAAAAGTACCTTATTAATTTTTCTTCTAAAAACACAATATTTCTTACCGTTTTTATCTTTTTTCACATGATCAAATAAAAAAGGGACCACAATTAAGGACCACGTTAAAAAATATGATAAGGGATGTTGATTGCTTGTTAAAAAAGTCCCTGATATGTTAAAATGCAACGAAAATATAGAATCGTGTTAAGAATAAACAAACATTTAGTGCAAATTATTTTATTTAAGCTATCGCTAGATTTCTTATCATCTCTATCCACTTTTTAAAGCATTATTTTTATTTACTTTAGTTTATCTAAAAATACAAAATATAAAAATTCAAAACGGTAAAAATGTTAATTCCGTATTTATTTTACTTATTAATAATAAAATAAATATATTAAAAATCCATTTACCAAAAATCAGTTAACCAATTTTTAATTTTAAGAAACGATTATAATAGTAATAGTTTAACTTCCTTTAATACAATTCTAAATGATTTTGGAAATATTTAATTGCATACTTTTCAGTGCCAAAATAAATAAATAAAGGCCACCTTTCGCAGCAGAAAACATAGGATTTCGTAGTGATCCGTGGATACTATCTGGGTTTCGGTGGGTTGTGAAGCATGTGCCTCATTTTTCCGTACCAGGTCATCTCCACGGGCGGAACAAAGACTGGGAGCCGGAGCAGCTCACCGCGGGCGAATCGCACAGTGCGGAAGGATCGCCGCTGCCAGTGATTTTCCGCCACGATGACGGGATGTCCGTGCTCCTCCAGGCGGTGGCTCTCGTTTCCTGCCCCCTGTGCCGCTGATCCCTGGCTGCCCTGATGGCGGGAGGCCACCGATTGGGCCCGGGTGAAACCCAATGGGGCCAGGCCGAGTTCCACCTCCCTCACCCGACTCAACAGATGACGCGTGGAACCCAAACATTGCTCGTGGGCCACTGTGATCTCCTCCAGAGCCCGCTTCTTGAACTCCACATACTCCAGCCGGGATTGAGTGCGCTCCAGGGTCTTCTTGTAGGCCTCCTTCAAGTGGCGACCCATCTTGAAAAGCTCCCGCCAGCTGGCATACAAATCCCGAGCATATCGATACCGCTGGAGGCACTTGCCCGCCTCCAGTTGCTTGGTCAGGTGGAAGGAGAGGACGCGATCGTGCTCCTGCCGACATGTGACCAGATCCTTCTGCTGCCGTGAATATAACCGATCCAGGGCCAAGATGCGTCCGTCTCCCAGCTCCGAGCAGCGGATGAGGGCATCCAGTTGGCGGCGAATGCGTAGGTTATTCAATTGCAAATCCCTAATACTTGGATCCCTGCTCCCATTCATTACCATCCAGCGGGAGTCCTCCGGTTCCAGGCCCACCTCCCTCACCTCGTCCTCCTTAAAGGACCCCTCGTAGGGATCGATGGCCAGTTGGGCCTGCATCTCGTCCAGGGTGCGGTTCATCGAGCCCATCTCCCGCTTCAATTCCACCCAGGGAATCTCCTCTAGAACCTCCGGTTGCTCCTTGATCTCCTCCTCCTCCTCCTCCCCTTCCTCCGAATCTTCCCACTCTTTGACTTCCGATCCACATTCACGGTTGAACACTTGGTCCTTCCTCTCCTTCACGGTTTTAACATGTTTCTTCATGTCTGGACTTGCAAAAACAAGCAAATGTTTTTGGAGAATGTGATTCTTGGGGTATTCAAAATTCACCTGCCGGCGAAGAATCGGAGAATCGGAGATCGAAGAATCGTACCGGGCAAACACAATTTTCGAAATGATTCAAAAGTCAGAGCGAGCAGATACTGATATACCGATATACCGGACAGAGTGAGCGAAATTCTGGTATTTTTACGAGAGCAGCGCCAAATGAGAATTTCTCTCTCTTTACACAAAAACGTAACGTAAGAGTAAGAAAAGGAGATAGCCTCAGCGTAAGTGTCAGTGAAAAAGTGAAAAAGGGAGATGCAAGATCAGAAAGAGGGCGCAAAACAAATTTGATAACCGACACAGAATGAAAATGAAAATGAAAATAGCGTGCGTGCGTTCAATTCGGCGCTGATATGATACTCGCTCTTTGCCTCTCTTCCGAATCGGCTCACCCTCTTCGACTCTCTTCCGCGTGCTCTTAGCTCATTAAGCGACGCGGCGGCTCGTCGCTCTGACTAACGATAAACTCTTAAACTAAAGGATCGTCGAAAAGTCATGCTAAAAAGTCCCGTGTTGAACGCATGTTAAAAAGTACCTGGCGTGTTAGGCAAAAGCAAGGGAAATACGGGATAATGTTAGGCAACACATGCCAAGATCTGTTATCTGTATATACCAGATATTAATCATTTTCTTTTTATTGTTATTATTTTTTATCAAAAAAGAACTTAAATCTTAAAATTAATGATCATGTAAAACTCATGTTAAAAAGTCACTGATTAAACGCATGTTAAAAAGTCCCTGGCGTGTTAAGCAAAAGCAAGGGAAATATGGGAAAATGTTAAGCAACATATTCAAAGATATTTGTTCTGTATATTCTACATTTTTATAATCATTTTCTTTTACTATTGTAAAAAAACATCAAAAAGGGACTTAAATCATAAAAATGAGGATCATTTTTAAGTCATGTTAAAAGGTCCCTTTTTCAGCCGAACGCATGTTAAAAAGCCCCTGTTAGTCCCATGTTAACTAAAAGCAAAGGAACCAAAGGATCATGTCAAGTGTCTCAAAGAAACAAACATACTTAGACTACAAGTAGTTCATTCAATGCTATTTGTTATGTATACCTACACTAGATTTTTAAAATCATTTCCATATACTTGTATTCAATCGAAAAAGAAATAAAATCCTAAAATTAAGGTTTATCCAGAATAAATGTTAAGAAGTCCCTTTTAAGTCCCCTTTCTACTAAAAGCTAAGAAAATATGGGATAATGTTAAGCAAGACTCGAAAAAAACGATCTTAAGTAACAAGTCTTTACTCAATTCTATTTCCTCTATAAAAACCACAATTTTGTAATCAGTTCCAAATACTTCTATTTAATAGAAAATATAAAAAAATCTTAAAATTAAGGAACTTGTACATATGTACATATAAGTCATATTAAAAAGTCCCAGGTAATTTAAACCAAAAGCAAAGAAACAAACATTAAAATTAAAAGATTAAAAGATTAAAAGTATTTCATTAATTTTTCTTATAGAAACCCAATGGTTTTGAAACCATTATCCTTTTTCACATGATCAAATAAGAAAGGGACCACAATTAAGGACCACGTTAAAAAATATGATCAGGGATGTTGATTACTTGTTCAAAATGTCCCTGATATGTCAAAAAGCAAAGAAAATATAGAATCGTGTTAAGAATAAACAAACATTTAGTGCAAATTATGTTATTTAAGCTATCACTAGATTTCTTATCATCTCTATCCACTTTTTAATAGCATTTATTAGGATCTCATTTAAAAATTTCAAAACAGCTTACTTATTAGTAATAGAATAAATATATTAAAAATCCATTTACCAAAAATCAGTTCACCAATTTTTAATTTTAAGGAGCGGTTATATTAGTAATAATTTAAATTCCCTTAAAACAATTTTAAACAATTTGGGTAATATTATATTGCATACTTTTCAGTGCCCAAAATAAATGGTTTTAAGGCCCCCTTTCGCAGCAGAAAACATAGGATTTCGTAGTGATCCGTGGATACTATCTGGGTTTCGGTGGGTTGTGAAGCATGTGCCTCATTTTTCCGTACCAGGTCATCTCCACGGGCGGAACGAAGACCGGAAGCCGGAGCAGCTCACCGCGGGCGAATCGCACAGTGCGGAAGGATCGGCGTTGCCAGTGATTTTCCGACACGATGACGGGATGTCCGTGCTCCTCCAGCCGATGGCTCTCGTTTCCTGCTCCCTGGGCCGCGGATCCCTGGCTGCCCTGATGGCGGGAGGCCACCGATTGGGCCCGGGTGAAACCCAATGGGGCCAGGCCGAGCTCCACTTCCCTCACCCGGCTCAGCAAATGTCGCGTGGAACCCAAACACTGCTCGTGGGCCACTGTGATCTCCTCCAGAGCCCGCTTCTTGAACTCCACATACTCCAGCCGTGACTGAGTGCGTTCCAAGGTCTTCTTATAGGCCTCCTTCAAGTGGCGACCCATCTTAAAGAGCTCCCGCCAGCTGGCATACAAATCCCGAGCATATCGATACCGCTGGAGGCACTTGCCCGCCTCCAGCTGCTTGGTCAGGTGGAAGGAGAGGACGCGATCGTGCTGCTGGCGACAAGTGACCAGATCCTTTTGTTGCCTTGAATATAACCGATCCAGGGCCAAGATGCGTCCATCTCCCAGCTCCGAGCAGCGGATGAGGGCGTCCAGTTGGCGGCGAATGCGTAGGTTGTTCAACTGCAAATCCCTGACACTTGGATCCCTGCTCCCATTCATTACCATCCAGCGGGAGTCCTCCGGTTCCAGGCCCACCTCCCTCACCTCGTCCTCCTTAAAGGACCCCTCGTAGGGATCGATGGCCAGGTGGGCCTGCATCTCGTCCAGGGTGCGGTTCATCGAGCCCATCTCCCGCTTCAATTCCACCCAGGGAATCTCCTCCAGGATCTCCGGTTGCTCCTTGATCTGCTCCTCCTCCTCCCCTTCCTCCGAATCTTCCCACTCTTTGACTTCCGGTTCACATTCACGGTTGAACACTTGGTCCTTCCTCTCCTTCACGGTATTAACATGTTTCTTCATGTCTGGACTTGCAAAAACAAGCAAATGTTTTTGGAGAATGTGATTCTTGGGGTATATGTAAACTAAAATATGTTTTTGAAAAATGGTAATGCTTTTTGAAAGCCTACTGATGGTTTTACAAATCAGTTCATTGAAAATTCATATTAAAAAAAGTGGTTTTTCTACTCTAAAGAAATATAACTGATAAAAAACATAATAAATTCAAAGACTTTATAATATAAAGTCTATATTCAATTTAAAGACTCCGAAGCCTCTTGGTTAAAAAACAGTTTTTTTTTAAATAATATTCATAAAACTTTTGTCATCGTATTCAAGAAAAAATTAAATCATTCACTGATCAAAAAAACGTAATTAATTCAATGGTTTTATATTCAATTTAAATATGTTTATGTGAAAACTGATATATCTGCTAGTTAAGAACAAACTTAAAAGTCTGTTTTGATCCGATATCAAGAAATGAAATCACTAAGTTGTTTTAATATTTCATAGGTTTATGTTAATAGATTTATTATACCATTTCACAAAAAAAAAAATTAAAAATAAATCAGCATCCTTAACTACAGAGCTTGGCCCATTGTGCTACATGTTAGTGTATTAAATCAGTAGGAGACGGTGGTTCTATGGATGCTTTCCAGACATATAGTTCCCATCCAAAGATTAGCAATCTAGTTATTGTATTAACATCTGCAAATTGCCTTTACAAATTAAGCGCACTTGAGTGTAACCACTGGGATGGGGTTAAGAAAACAAAGTAAATCCTCCTCGTTAGTCCTTGAATTTGCCCAGAACGATGTCCTTGTAGAAGGGAACGCAGTTCATGCGCACATTGAGTCTCGCGCACAGCAGGAAAATGCCCGACAGCTTGCGGTGAATGGAGTAGATCTCCTCGGGCGGCGGACACAATCGATGCGCCACCATTGTGGGCACCAGGGCGGCCAGCCTCTCGGTGGTGTTCTGCTTGCCAAAATCGAAGTCCCCGTCGTAGCGGAAGATCTCGCCGAGAATCATCACGGCATCCACGTGGGCCTGCTCCATTTGCTTGGTTTCGTAGCCAGTGAGGAAGCCCATTTCGCGGGACATCTCCAAAACGCCCTGCCTGTTGTCCTCGGCGGCGCTCATGATAACCTGCCGATAGTTCCTGATGAACTCGTGCCTGTAGAATCGCGTTGAGCCAAAATCGATCAGCATGAGCCGGCGACTGGGCGCATCGTACAAGAAGTTGGACCAATTCGGATCCGTCTGCATGCACTCGATCTCGAAGAGCTCCCGCAGACAGAGCTTCAGCACAGAGGCGGCTATGTGGGCACGGTGCTCGTAGCTGGAAGGGATTAGGTTTAGTTAGCCAAAGGAAACCTCGAGGAAAAGCATCACACACTCACCTCAGATCAAAGCACTTGTCTAGTGGAACGCCGGGCACCAGTTCGGTGGTCAGCACACTGGAGGTGGTCAGATCGCGCACCACCCGCGGCACATAGTACTCCGGATAGGGCGAGATCATCTGGCGGAACTTCTCCGTGTACTCCGCCTCGCGATCATAGTCCACCTCCCACTGCAGCTCCCGCTTGGCCACGCGCACCACATTGTCGATGAAAAAGCCCTGCGGAAAGACGTCCCACACCTTGAGCATGCCCACCAGGTTGTCAATGTCGCTCTCGATGCTCTGGGCCACACCGGGATACTGGATCTTGATGGCCACATCCATGCCATCGCTCAGGGTGGCCCTGTGCACCTGGCCAATGGAGGCGGCCGCAAAAGGTTTGTCCTCGAAACTCCTCAGCCGCTGACGCCAATCGGCTCCCAGCTGGGTGTTCATCACCCGTTCCACCTGCCAGTCGGGCATGTAGTCCGCCGCCTGGCGCACTCGCTCGAATGCCTTGGCCAGTTGCGGCGACACCACGCTGGAGTCCTGGATGCTCAGGATCTGCCCGATCTTCAGGGCAGCACCTCGCACTTTGCATAGGGTATCCACAATGCGCTCGGCATTGGCGGGACTCAGCAAAGCCTCGCGCATGGTGGTGGACCCACCCAGGCCGAGGGCACCCTTGGTCAGCTCATTGAGGGTGCCAATGCCCAGGCCAGCGAACAGGCCACCAAAGGAGGCCATCCTGCCGATGCGGGAAGATGGAACCTTCCTCTGTTTGGCCACTTTGCTCAGTTCGGGGACATCAATGCCCGGCTGTGCTGTCTTTTTCTTGACCTCCGTATCGGGTTCCTCCTGCGTCTTGGCTCCCGCCACAAATCGCAGCACATTGTTGACATATTCGGTGTCCTGGCTGATGATTCCCGGGTCCACCTGGCCTTCCTTCCCCTTTTGGGGCATACTCTGGCTGCTTTTGGTGGCCGCAGTGCGCAGACTAACACTGCGATCCTTGTTCCTGCGCGAAAGTATGTCCTCGAACTCCTGGAGCGTTATGGAGGATATGTCCAGGTTGGCAGCGTCCCAATTGACCTGGTTTTGTGCTGTGGGTGAGGCTTTGCGCGGAGCACTGGCTGTTGAGGGTTCAGTGGAGCTGGGCTCCTCGCGGGACAACTTGATTTTGGTCTCCAGCAGTGAGCACAGTCCTTTGGCCACCACGTAGCCACGTTCGCCGGTTTCTTGAAGGGATTGCTGCAGTTTCTTCAGCTCCTCGGTGGGATTTTTGCTGGAATTCCTCACCAGCTGCGAGGTGTGCGCTGCATTCTCGGCGATTAGCTCACGAATACTCGAGTTGCTCCACAGATGGCGACCGTGGGCGAGTTGCTCGCGCCCACACGCCTCCACCAAAATACGCAGTCCCCGCAGCAGCGCCGCCATTTCTTGAGCGGATCGCGACATCGCCGCCGAGGAAATACTGGTTTGCTCAGTGCACGCGTGGGTGATTCACTGGCGATCTTCGTCTCGTTGCCTCCGAGTCTCCGGATTACGTAAATCGCGTATAAAAACCGCAGAGAGCGAACAAAAAAAGAAGCAGCGCGCAATGTTGTGAAAGTGCGGCGAAATCAGCTGTGCAATCAGCTGACCGACCAGCTGAGTGCTGCCATTCTGGACTTTTTGGCTATGACAGTGCTGAGCTCTCGGCGATTTCAACCCATTTCTAGCTATTTAACTGTTGTTTGCTGCTGCGATGAGCTTTTCATCAATAAAAGTACATCCCCTTTGGCAATTTCAAGGTATTTCTAGCTGTTTTACAGCTAACTGGAGAGCTGAGTGCTGCCATTCTGGACTTTTAATCATTGACAGTGCTGAGCTCTTGGCGATTTTCATCCATTTTTTAGCTATTCAAAGCTTGAATGCTGATGTGCTGAGTTTTTTATCAATGACTGGCCAGCTGAGTGTGTATTTTGTACTTTTTAACAAAGGTAGTTCTGCTCTTTTAGCGATTTTAAGCTATTAAAGCCTTAACCCTGCTGTAATGAACATATTATTAACGACATGTCACTTTTGGCTAAATTGTAAGATATTTTTAGCTATTAAACACTTGATTGATGCAGTTGAACATTTTTAAGAGCTGACCTTTTAGCCATTTCAAGCTTATTCTAGCTATTAAAAGCTAGATTCAGTTCAGCCTTTAAAGTTTTTGAATAATAAAAGCTAGGTTGAGATCAGCCTTTAAATTGTTTGGCTATTTTTTAAATAAATACCCTAATTTTTGTATTATATTTTAAAAATCATGTAATATCATGTTCACAAAATTATTCGAAAAAAAAAATATTATCTGAAAAGCTTTAAAGTTTTAGCCATAAAAAATTATCTGAACATGGTTGGTCTAATTTACTTGTTTCAGTTAATTGCTCGTTTTTAAGTAATTGCTCACATTTACAAAGCCATAAGAATTAAATACGATGGCCTTTTGCCTAAATCTCGTTTAATTTTTGTCGTTTTACGTCACGTGCCCTTAAAATCACTCCAAACTTAATATCCCTCCACAAACACAGTGAGCCCTGCTTAAGTGGTTCGATGACAGAGCCCACGTTTATTAGGCAGCCTAGCTTAGGTCGTAAAAAATATTATAAGATTAAGTATTTGTATACCGAAAACCGAATCACACACGAATATACATATCTTCTATATACAATTTGTGACTAACTAGAGATTAAGCTATAAAATTGCACTACAGCCATGCGACAGGCACTGCGATTTCCTTGGGGATTCCGAGTCGTAGGCGTCCTACTTCCTGGGCAGGCGACCAGCACGTTCCAGGGCGGGATCCTCCAGCTCCCAGGCGGGTCTGAAGCCACCCGGATCGCAGGAGCAGGCAGGATTGGTACTGGAATCACAGTCGCACTGGGAATCGGGACGTCTGAGGTGCGGATTGGGAATTGTGTTGGAACGGTTGCCGATGGAGGTGTAGCCCCGGTCGTACAGACTGCAGTAGGGCACCGAGTTCAGGTGGATGTAGTGCCAGACGTCGTGGTAGCTCCACTCCAGCAGGGGATTCAGACGCATCATCGGCGGCCAGTCGTTGTCCGTGGGCTGGAAATGAAAGGAACATCAAGTTTTTAATCCAGTTTAAAATATTTTTAACTAAATTAAATGTACATTATTTAATTTAAGTAATAGGTAAACGTTTCTCTTTAAACATTTTCGGTTCCAAACATTTTTTAACTGACTTTTGGTGAGTTGAATATTAAATCGATATACTTTTGAAAGAAATTAAAATTGTTTTTTTTTTTAATTTTTACCTATCTGTATTCTAAATTTGTTATATTAGTTTTTATATATATAAATAATCTAACAAAAAATATTTCCTCAACAAAATATCAATTTTTATAAAGAAAAAACTTGTAAAATATATGTATCCAAGTCAAAGTCCTTATTAATAATCATCTTGTTGTCAAGCTAACATTGTATCTTTAAAATTTCTACAATTATTATAAATACTATGGAAAAGAATAATCAATTTACGAATAACTAACTATTACAAAGTATTTGTAAGTATCTTGCATAATGAAAAAACTAATAGTCTCTATGAAGTTTAAATTGTATTAAAGTATTTGGAATTCTAAGGGACTGTCATTATAACTACATAGTTTTATTAAAATATATTACAGTAAGAAATTACGACTTACAAAACAAAAACATTTATTGATGACCCACAATAAAGTCATTAACCTTGGAAGGTTCTCAAAAAACAATTAGTTCTTAAAACGATTATGAGGCAAAAATGTTGTTAAAGCATTTTTTTTATAAGATAGGTGAGCTGATTTTACGTGCTTGATAGGCAATAAACCACACACCCTTGAATTGGGTTATGAGTACGACCCTATCTGCAACTTGGCAACATGCTATTCTGAAATTCCCATCAGTTTGATATTCAAAAAAGGGAAACTACCTTTTTTAGGATTAGTTAGAATAGATTGGATAGAATATTCATAAATACAGAACTATGTATTCGAGTGCAATACAGTCCAGTTTTAATGATAGAACATTCGAGTATGGTCAAGGTTATAACCATATTTTCCTATCTGATACTCTATTCTATAAGCTTATTCATTTGGAAATAGTCTAGATTATCGGTATTGGTTTATATTACTACAGATATTTTACTATTTCTCATAAAATATAAATGAGAATAGAGAGATTTATGTATACTTCCCAGAGTTTATCACAGGAAATTCGAGTCAAGGTTGCTATCATATTATCCTATCTATTTAGTCTATTCTACATGTAGGCTTATTTATTTAGAAATATTCTATATTTCCGAAATTGGATTTTACTGCCTTCTATGGAGACTTTTCTAGATATTTCACTATTTTTCATAGAATAAAAAAGATGATACGAGTTTAATATTTTCAAGTACGTCCCAGTTTACCAGCATATTATCCTATCTATTATTCTATTCTATATGCTTATTCATTTGGAAATAATCTGGATTACTGGAACTGGTTTATATTACTACAGATATTTGACTTTTCATAGAATATAAATCAATATAGACAGATATGTGTATAATATTGCCCAGATTTATTCATATCACATTCGAGTCAAGGTACTAACATATTTACGCATCTATTATTCTACTCTATATGCTTATTCATAAATAATAAATAAACTTATAAAAATGATGGGTAATTGGAATGGGAATTACTGCCTTCTACAGAGAGTTTCTAGATATTTAACTACTTTTCAATGAATATTAATGAATATAGGTAGAATCGATTTTAATATTGTCATTTTTCAATGAATATTAATGAATATAGGTAGAATCGATTTTAATATTGTCCACATTTCAAGTACGGTCAAGGTTACTAACATATTGTGCTACCTATTATTCTATTCTTTATGCTTATTCATTAAAAAATCGTCTGGGTGTCAGTAATTGGTTCGTATTAAAACCTTCTAAATAGAGTTTTTTTAGATATTTGACTTTTTCTCATAGAATATAAATGAGAATAGAGAGATTTGAGTATGCTATTATACAGATTTCATCACAGAGCCCTTCGAGTATGATCAACATATTGTTATATTTATAATTCTCTTCTACAAACTTATTCATCAAGAAATCTTCTGTATATCAGAAATTACCTTCTATAGAGAGTTTCTAGATATTTGACTATTCCTCATATATGATATAGTCCTGATTTCATCACAGAACCTTCGAGTATGGTCAAGGCTAACATATTGTCATATAATTCTTTTCTATATGCTCATTAGTTAAGAAATCTTCTGGATATCAGAAATTGGTTGGAATAACTACCTTCTACAAGGAGTTTCTATATAATTGACTATTCCTCATAGAATTCAAATGATTATAGACAGATATGTATATGATATAGTCCTGATTTCATCACAGAACCTTCGCGAATGTCAAGGTTGCTAACATATTGCGCTATCTATGATACTAAGCTCTTATCATTCGCCTATGGCTAACACTTTGGGGCTTCACCTGCATGGGCGCCAGGTGCTGGCAGTAGGGATCCGTGTTCCGGCTGCCCACGAAGACGGCCCTAATCCGGGGCATGTCCGCCGACATGTGGGTGAGTGCATCCTTGAGAGAACCCTCGTACTCGACGAGATCCACGTGATAGTTGAGGACGCAGCGCTCGACAAAATCATCGATTTCCGTGAACGAGTCGCCGGATTTGATATACAGCATGGGAATGTCACCGCTGGAGATGTTCTCCTGGCGGAGGAAACGCATGAGGAGATCGAGCAGGACGGTGCAGTCCTTGCCGCCGTTGAAGCAGAAGATTAGTTCCTCGACGCCATAGATTTGCAGGGTTTGTCTGAAGAAGGTGAATGCCTGGCGCTGTCGCTCCTCGATGGCCAGTCTCTGCTGGGGGGTGATGGGCGGATAGCTTGGGCAGTCCTCCGGGGGCACCACATCCCCCGAATCCTCGCCAGAAAGTCCAGACATGCTCCTCTGGTCCAAAAACAAATGCTTTTTGCTCAGTGTTCCGTTCGATATTATGGTGTTGCTTGATATTGGGCTGATTTGCCGGCATTGGTTCATGGTGCTCAGTGGGCGGGTGGTTAAGAGGAGGCGTGGCCTTGCCCTGGCCAGCAGAAACGATGACGTCACAAGCTGTTAAAGGAAAGTGATTTAGCAAAACAAACAGAAAACTTTCTCCCGAAATGTGTGGGCGCTCTTGTGTCTGTGTAGCTGACGTTTTTATGTAACTTTGTTTGGCCAAGAACTAACTTAAGCCTTGTTAATAACGTGCTAAATGCTTCAGTGGTTGAAGTGCAACTGATTTGGCTTATCAGCCAGCCAAAAATTACATCACATTCGTATCGGAAAAGTAAGCAAAAAAAAAAAAAGCCAAAACCTCAGCCACACACACACATGTGAATCGAACACATGGCGCTCACACACACACACACGCACTTACGCTCACCCAACCGCGCATGTATTTGTTGTTGCCGCGGCAATTACTGGCACATTTAACTATTTTTTCGCAGCGACGATAATGCAATTATTCCATTTTGTTAATTGTTATTCCGCGCCAGTGGTTTTCCTTCCTTTTTTCGCCCTTTAAATGCAACAACAAGAGAGCGGCGACCACAACAACAAATGCTCGAAGCTTCGCGGTCTATCGGAAAGTCAGCTGATCTCGTGCGACTATCGATAACACGCGGCTAGAGCGGTAAATAGCTAGATATTCAAAAAAATATCTGAAATTAATAGGGGTATTTAATAAATTAAGTTAAAAAACTATAGTGTTTCCTGCAAAATAATGAAACATTATGTATAAAAAAAGAAAGAAAAATAATAGTTATAAAATTAAGATCTTCCAAATTTATAAATATCGATGACAGAAATCAATATAAGTTATTTAAAAAATAATTACAAATATTCCCTTTTCTCTCTTCTGTCAGAAATGAAGTTCCAATACTTTTTAAAATAAGTTTTTTAGCTTGTATATAAAATTAAAATAATATTGTACAAAGGTTTACAAAATATGCCTTTCGTTTATGTGCATGGGTATTGAAGAATTTACCATGAATCGTCCACAAACTATATAGTTTATAAAAATAAAATTTTCATATTTTTTAATTTTTAGGCATGGAACCGAAATGTTTTCGAAAATTTCTATTAAATCTACCCCAGTTTTTCCGCCTTGCATTGCTAATAAACAATCCCAAAAATGTTACATTTTGTATAGTCTTTATTTTACAAATAACAAATTAATTTGTGTTTAACAACAACAAAAAGCGCATTAAAAATACGCTCTATACATTTAATAAATGGGCACTGTTGGCGTTTCTCTGGATTTGTTTTCTATCAATTCGTCCTTGTTTTTGTGTTTTTTACTCAGTGAGAAAATATCACAAAAGTGGAGTTTTGTCAGCTTATCAATTTGAATTTCAAATCAATAAATTGATGATTTTGTTTACAAAGTTTTGATTCAGTTTTAGCGAATACAGAATAAATCCCATTTAAATTCACTTATCTTAGACATAAATAACTAAAAACTAAGTGTTTTGTCTAGAAGGTAGAATTATAATGGCCAGCAATTCCCCAAGAATATAATTTGAAACCAAAATTAACTGGTTGAAAAGGTATGATTCAATAGATTTGATATGGACAAATAGATTTTTCAAACTGATCAAAATGTAATCTTTTATCTTTTGATGGGTCTAATAGTATTAGGTCCAGAAAGATCTTAGCTTTGTTGTGCAAACATTTAAATATTTTAAGGACTCCTGAAAACGGTTAAGGTTTCCCTCAGGTACCAGCTGATTGTCAGCTGTTTGAAACAGTGTGACCTTGCTTTCAATTAATGCAAAATTGTATAATTTTTTAAAAACCCGATTTAAACGGTGTTTTGTATAGATAAATGATTTGGATTTATCATGTTAATGCTTATCACTGGACCAATTGTAAGGTATTTGTTTATGAATAGATCCCCCCTCAGTTAAAGATCTATGTTGTCCAGAATATTATCGATGAGACCGACGACTTTCTGGCGAAACCGTCGATTCTGCTTTCCGCTCATTTCCTTGAGGTACGGATGCAGGCTGATCAGAAAGGAGTAGTCGGCATCCGGTGGCGAGGGAATGGTTCCCGATCCGGTGCCGAATCCTCCGGTTAAAGCTCCCAAAGCTGGCGTGGCCGGCGGTGGCGGTGGTGTGGTTATCTTGTGATTCAGGTGACTCAGATGATGGCCGCTGTTGCCCTTGAACCACTGCGACAGATCCGTCCAGTCCAGGTGGCTGCCCAAGGCGGCGGCAGGCACTGTGACCAGCGACTGATGGTTCACAATCCTCTCCAGCTGCGGGCTCGTATTCTGCTGATTCGCATTCTGGGAGGGCTGCTCCACTTTGATCGCCTGAAGGCGCAGCGGCAAACAGGCGGTGGGTTGCTCTTGATTCTGATTCGGATCCTGCTCCCGATCTCGTCCTGGGTGATTCAGTTCCTCTTCCTCCTCGGAAACCTGCACATCCAGTGGCATTTCGCTATCGCTCTCTTTGGCCTCCTCCTCATCCTCCTGCTGATTGGGATCCGATGGGTAGTTGGGTGCACTGGATGCGGCATTGCCGGGCTTACGGAGCACCATTCCCGCCGTCGGGCTACCAGTGCTACCAGTGGTGGCCAGCGCAGGCAGCTGCTTGTGACAGGATCGCGACTTGGTGTAGGGTATGAGGAACTGCAGGTACTTGGACAGGTAGTATTTGCGCTTCCCGCGGCCCGTTTGGGTGCGTGCCAGTTTCAAGGATCGGAGGAAGCTGCTCCTTATCGTGCGCCACCTTTCGCGACAGTTGCGCACTGGAAAAGTCAAGGGGAAAAATGTTTCTGTTCAATATTACGAGGTTAAATAAATATGTATATTTCCAGGGTGCTACAAAAAATCTATTATGTATGATGATAGTCCTGAAATGCAACCACTGCAAAGGTTGTCATACATATGTATATAATTTTGATCAGAACTTTTGAACGCAGAAAATTAGCAGAAAATGTATTATTTTTATGTAAAACTACTTTGAGATATATTTATTTATTTTTTCTACAATTTTAAAAATTCAGCGTTTATTTAACAAAACAATGAAATAAATAGCGCTGTCGTAGAAACGACATAAACATACATACATATTAGGACAAGTTAAAAAATTTAATTTGTTTAAGTCTGGGATGTATTGTCTTAGAAATAGACAAACTAAAAAGTTGTATTATAGAATTTTTTTAAATTGCACTGATATCTAAAAATACGAACATATAAAAAAACAAATTTATTTGAAAATCTTTGCGAAATGCATATTCAAATTAAAATGGTTTGGAAATCTTAATTAAGTTCAAACTTTGTTAATTGAAATATTCAATTGAACCTAACAAATATGAGTAAAAACAAGTCATATAATAATAACACAAAGATACCGAATTTGTTCAATGACAAACCTATTGAAATTGATAACGGTTGTCAAATGGATTTGATTAAAAAAAAAAAAAAAACTTAGATCAGTTGTAAGTGCCATTTGGGAATAAACATATGTTGAAACTGGGAATTTTTAGAAATTTTAAATGGATTTTGTTAATTAAATAAACAAAAAAATGTATATGAAAAAAAGCCGTTAAAAAAACATTAAATACCGAAACTCAAATCTATTTAATTTGGTAACATTTTTTGAATTTAATTAGGCTAATTATGTTTAAAAATAATTTAATAAAAATTTGAATTTTCTTTGGCAGCTATTTATTTTTTCAAGTGTATTTTCGCAGTGCAGCAATTGCTGAGCAAAGGCAAATTGCAAATGCAAAAGCAACAGTAAACCGAACGACAAACGCAAAAGCAGCAACAAATTGCAAGTAAAAACTGCGCGACACAGTGACACACCTACACAAACAGCAAAAAAAACTAAACAAAATGAGTAAAAGAGCAACAACAACATGCAGTTGATGCGCATACCAATGCACAAAAGCTTGCATCATAGACACGCACACACACACACGCACAGCGAAATGAGCACGCAATTGGCGGCGTAGAAGAAGAAGAATCATGCGGAAAATCATTTGTTTTTTTGTTTTTCTTTTTGCAACACCAATTTACCCGAGTCCTTGATCTCATTGGCCACCTGCTGCCACGCCCTCTGCACCTCCTCCTTTTTGCTATATCCCGGATGTGTGTAGTTCCACAGGCAGGGCTGATTTTCCACGAACTGCACGAACCGCACGTTGAAAACGGGATCGTCCTTGCGGGCCATTGTGACCCAGCACATGCCGTCCCGCTCGCACTCTAACGGTAAGTCACACGCACATGCAGCTCCTCCTCCTCCTGCTCTTCTCTTCTTCTCTTCTCCAGGGGCTCAGCCAAAGGGGGTGTCTAAGCAAGGGGCGCCGAAAAGAGGGGATCCCAGCAACAAAAAAAAAAGGGGGAAGCAGCAACAACTGCTCGCAGCGGCCGCGCAACCAAAACTGAGCGTAAAAAATCCCATTGCGCGCAAATTGCAAATTGCAAATAGCAACAAAAGCTGCAGCGCAAACACTTTATGCTGGCACAAAACAGCAGCAACAACAAGTGGTAATAGATTTCGGGAGGGGGATCTAACGACCAACAAATACCCTGCACAGAAAAAAAACAAGTTAGATAAGATCTACAAACTTTTTTAAAGGATATACTTAATGGGGTTAAATTTCTATACTAAAGAAAATATCACATTCCTACATTTGTTAAAAAAAATATTTAGCTTATCTAAAAAACATTTTTTTTATGACTGTTAGAACATGAATATAATCCGAAGAAAACGAGTGACTAATCGAAAGTTCAACACATTTTTCATATCATTTTGAAATGCAAATACTTTTAAATTACCAATACACAACCAAGTAAGCAATAAACAATTGATTTTCATTTTTGTACTTAACAAATACCATTTGGATATCTAATATTACATTTAAATTTTATAACTTACGCAAAAGTTTATCAAATTAAAATTATAAAGAAACTCGTTTTCGGTCATTATACTTTTAAAATTATCAATTTCCGAATTCGATATAAGAAAAAAAAATACAAACGAATTTATTTGCATTATAAACTAACGGTTGTAAATATTTTTATATTTTTTTTATAGCTTACATTTCTAAAACGTGTTGATTACCTTTTTGAAATTTTTAGAGGAAAGATTATCCTTGCATCGTGAGCAGTTTTAGTCGAAAAATAAAAAACTTTAAATATTTAGTTAAGTACACATCCTGATTTAATAATATATTTTCCCCAGGGGCTTCAAAATATGTTCCGATACCAAATTTCCGACTATTTCGATATACCCCGATGACTTCGCGATTACCGCATATCGAAAAAATCAACGGCAAACAACAGCTGCAGCAGCGCAATACAAATTGTATAAGCAATGCAATTCAAATGCAGCACTTGCAACGCTTGAGTGTGTGCGGGTGTTTTCGTGTGTGTGAGATAAAAAGCTTTGCCATGACGTCACATGCTGCATTTGTTGCATGCGATGCAAAATATCATTAGAAAGCAAAAACAATCAAAGATAAAAGGGAGTAAACACAATATAGGCTAAACAGTTTTCTTTATGAAATTCGCATTACAATATATGCAGAACAATTTTAGAATAAACAAAGCTCAGTTTTTAAGCAAACAATATATCTTTTCGGCAATCAAAAAGTTTTTTTATGGAATGGTTTTATTTTGAGAAAGATATTGTTAGCATGATATTTAAATATAATATTTACCTTCCTTTTACAGGGCGGCATTTAAAAAGATATGTTTGTAATTTTAAAGGTAAACTGGGTTATAAATGTAACCCATTTTTTTAGAAACTAAAAATGTATATAGAAAATTGTCTATTTATATATTTATATTCTATAAATTGTATTCCGTATTTGCAAGAAAATAAATCTCTATACATCAAATTAAATGTAGTAATCTATTTTATTCGAAAAATCAATGAAACCTGCATGCGTTATTATTTAACATTTGTTATTTAACCTTTTAAATCTGTTACAAGTTTTATATATATTTTTAATTAAAAAATTTAAATATTTTTAGCTTGAAAAGCGGGATTTTAGAAAAGAAATCGATAGTTCCCCGCCAAGTTGGGCAATCGAAATATAAATCGATGTGTTTGCGCATCTCTAGTTGCCCGGAGCATATGTAACAATTGGGAGTATTTTTATTTTTAGGGAAAAACACTTGATATTCTCACGAAAAACATGGCAGCCAGCGGAAAACTGATGCTGAGCAGCGGCCTCTGCCAAAAGCTGAGCCAGGTGAGCAGTTATTACCAACTAGTCCAGTGAAAAAAGCCCTAAAATCGTTTATTTGTCCACACAGTTCACCAGGCACATTCACATGCAACCGGCACTTCTGTCCAGTTTTCGGTCATCCCGCGAGGTCCAGGAGCTGGACAAGTATCCCGACGTGGAGGTGGTGGCCAATCCGCCCGAGTGGCGTTTCGTGGAGCGTCTGCTGCCGGCGGAAACAGTCCCAAAGCCGGTGGAGAAGCCAAAATACCCATCCGGCTGGCGGCCACAGAAGGAGAACGGATCGGAAACTGGTTACTTCGTGGCCAGGACAAAGAATCACATGGTGCCGGTGTATCTGCACACCCGGTTTCGTGGCCAGCGCAGGATCACGGTGGTTCGTCGCGTCCAAGGAGACATCTGGTCGCTGGAGAAGGATCTGCGGGCGGTGGTGGAGCAGTCGCGGAATGGCAAGCTCTGCGCCACGAGGATCAACGAGCTGAGCGGACAGATCCACTTCCACGGCGATCATGTGGACGTACTGCGGGACTATCTCAAGGAGAAGGGCTTCTAAAGATCCCCAAAATGTTCATTTTATACCCCAATAAACTATGTTCTGTTGATTTAAATGGGTTCTTCACTTTACTTAAGATTAAATTACACTGTGACTACTTATACTTAGGGATAAACTTAGGGAAAAACTACAGTATATCCTTAAAAATTATAGATCTCACTTTATATTATATTTTACAGTATATAGTAAATGGACATGAAAAGTACAGTGATATTTTTAATTTTTGTTGAGATATCTATTTACCATTCATTATAAGATAGATAGAATAAAAATATCTATAGTTTCTTAGTATCTAGTTTGGGATGTCAGGCCTTTATAGATCATGTATGGAATTATTTCAAGGAAAAGCCTCTCTTAATTACAGAATATAAACCAAATTCTTTAAAATTTGATCCCCGATCTTACCAATTAGGAATTTCCATTAATTAGCATTCGAAAGTCGGCTTAATTTTTCCTTTATCTGGTTAAAACACTTCTATGTTTACAACCTTGGAGTTGCCAAACTCACACAACTTGTAGAATTAATTTCTGTTGACCGCACATCCACTTGGCTGCAGTTCTCTTTTATTTAGCACTTAACGTTTAGCATAAATTACATACATCGTCTGGATGGGGGGCATTATTCTGAGAGTGGTGCGCGCAAGGCTCTACGACTATAATCTAGAGGAAGGAGGTGAGGAAGGTGAGGGGCCAAACTCGGCGAACTTAGCCACGTAAGTATAATAAGTCTGGTTCGGGCTCTGGGTGGAGCTCTGCTACAACTACGTCTACGGCTGCTGCTTCCTCGGCCGCGGCCGTCAGGTACGCGTCAGGTGGGCGTAGGCAGCTGCCACGCCCCACCGCTATCCGCTGGCCCCGGCCATTGCCGGCAGTCCGGCCAGGCTGACACCGACGCCCACGCCGGATGTGGGCGTGACTGTTCCGGCGGTGGCCGACGAGGAGGATCGCTTGAGGGCCTTGCGTATGATCGTCCAGTCCTCCATGATGTCCTCCTCGCGCAGCATGTACACCACATAGGGACCCGTGACGGTTACCGCCTTCTTGCGACCCGGTCCGCGCACCTTGCTCTGCCGCTTGTCGGTGCCCCAGTCGGCCCACGAGATGTCCACGTTGTGGCGGTCCTCCTCCAGGCGGCGGATGCGGTCCACGAACTCATCGCGCAGATTGTCCAGTGCCATGTGTTTCTCGCTCTGCAAAAAGATGGGGAGTTATTCGAGTATTCTTTAACTTTTCTTAACTATAAAGATAGTTTAGCTTCGGTTGTTGGCATAATATCAAGATTTAGACTTATTGATGTCCTCAAAATGGCTAAAACTTCTTTCTAGCAATTAAAAGGTCGCATATAAAGCCATTCCTTGGATAGTTTAGTGTTATATATGAGATATAAACCTCAAAAACTATACTAAAAGAAGGGTTTAAAGTTATGTTAATGAACTAATCAAATTAGTATGCATTAAAATACAGAAATCCTCAAAAAATCAATCATAAATTAAACAAGAAAGCTAATTAGAGAACAAGATATCACTTTTTGACTGTTTTGAAAAGTCCCTTATCGAGATACAGCTTAAATTAAAGTGATATAATCATTAACTAGCCTTAAAAGAGCAAAGATAATCATCATTACCCTAATATTGAAGTAATCTTTAAAGAACAAGACCCAGAATTTTACATAAAAGCTCATCTCCTGCTGAAATCACTAATCTTGAAATGAAATCTGTCATATTCTGTGTAAACTAGCGCCTAACTTAAACCTGAATCTCTTATCACCATGAAGGCTAATCAGATTCTAGCAACATAATCGCCAATTTGGCCTTGCAACTTTTGGCGCCAAAAAGTGGGGTTGGTGTACCTCAAAGTGCTGGACGGCTGCCTGCTCCTCGGACTGGAACTTGTGCTCGATGTTCTGCAGGCGGTACTTGCGCAGGACGTCCGCCACCTCAATCCTGGTGCGATAGACCTTGTCCAGCTCCTTTTGCGGCTGCACAAACTCCTCGGAACGGCCGGAGCGCACCTCGGCCAGCTGTCGTTCGATGAGATTGATGCGCTCGAAGTATAACTGCTCCCGCAAAGTGTTGAACTGCCGCTCCAGGCTCACTGCAAGGGAGAAGGATCTTCATTAGAATCATAGGAAGAACTACCACCCCATTGGTACCCACTCAAATCCTCCAAGTGCTCCGCCCGCTTGCGTTCGATCTCGCTGGCATCCAGCTCCGAGGAGTCGTCCGAGTCGCACTCGTTGGCCTCCTCCTCGTCGGATGTGTCGTGTGCCTGGCTGGAGTTCGAGTGCTCCGATTCTCCGCCAGAAACGTCGCCTTCGCCATCGGATTCTCCGTTCTCTACGGGCATTTTGGCTGGTTTATCGCGGTTCTGCAAGCTTTCGAGGATTCTGGTTCGGCGACGGTCTGCAGGTGGCCGCCGGTTTGAGCGCAATTGGCTTTTTGTTTGCCCTGGAGCGCCAAGGAGTGCGGAATTCGTGGAAAACTTTGTGGAAAAACACAAACTGCGAGCTGTTTGCAAAAATTAGAGATGTGTAAATAACCTATCGATAAGTCGCCTGCTCTGGTTTGGGCAACATTATCGAATACTTTTTTGAACAGTATCGAATATGACCGGGTTGAGTGAATTAAGGCACATTTTGTTTAGTCTTGTATTTTTAATAAAATACATATCACACATTTTAAAGTTAAAAACCAAACAAGCGTTTTTGCAAGCAAACAAATGTGGAATAAAATAAAATATTTTGTATATTGACTAATTTATTTTATTAATTTTACAACTACAAAATTCTATGCTTTTTAATTTTATAAAATCTGACAATTAAATATATTCAAAACTATAACAATAGCTTCTGTAGTCTTCTATGCAAATAACCTTTGTAATCTTTTGTGTTAGCAAAATAGCTTTTGAAACGTTTGTTGTTTTTGTAAAACTATTTCTGTTAGCAAGCAATAAAAAACCCATAACTTAATTTAAATGAATTCAAAATATATGTTAAAACTTATTTGATTTGAATATAGATTTGCTAGCTAAAATAGCCAGTTGCGATTATTCTGCCCCACTGTCATCACTAGCTGACGAACGCAGCCGCCAGCTGATGTGTGGCCACCTATCGATAACCGATAGCCCAACGTTGCCAGCAGATTTTTTTTTGGGGCCAAGTGGTGGAAAATACGTGTAATATTTACAATAAGCGATCCGAAAACAATATAGTACAGCCGAAAACCAAATGGAGACGCCTACGGCCGACGATCTGTTGCAGTTCCGCGACTACAGCGGCGGTGCCCCGGCCCAGATCAACGTGAACTCACCGACCCACTCATCGGGCGGCGGATCTGGTGGATCCGCTGGTGGCGGTGGTTCCAATAATGCCAACGCACAGCGTCAACGCGGCGATCCGCTGGCGGACCTCATCTACGACATGACCTCCTCGGCGCAGGGCCAGTCGGGGGATGGGGGCCAGCAGGGGCAGAACTCCTCACTGGACGGATCCGCGGGAGGTGCAGGCGGTGGATCTGGCGGGGCACGGCTCTCCTTCCTCACCATCGAATACTACCAGCAGTTCTTCAACGTGGACACCTACATGGTCCTCGAGCGGATCGCCAACTCGATGATCCCCAAGCGGGCCGCGGGCAACTATCTGCGCATGAACATCGGCGAGAATCCGGATCTGTACGGACCATTCTGGATCACCGTCACCCTGGTTAGTAGCCAAGAGTTGATCCTGGGATTCCTGAAGGACTTATTGGGTCTTTATAATTAAGAAAAATCCTATCTTGAGGGACTTTTTAGTTAGATCTTCTGTTTACCTTAGTAATTGTGTAGATTACTTACTTATAAAGGTGTTCTTCTGCTTATCTTAGTAATTAGTAATCAAAACTATTTTTTCAACCTTTATATTTGTTTGCTATCTTGTTGATTTAATGATTTTTAAAAGGAACCCCAATTCTAAGCAAAGTTGAAAAAGGAAATCCTCTACTAAGCAACTTCATAGATAGGGAGAAACCCCATAAGATGGTACCTATTTACAAATTTACTACATTTCCTTAGAAACAATTACTTTTTGTACTGCTTTTGAAGAGAAAAAACTACTTTCCAATGCCTACTTTTAAAGCTATCTTGTATAACCTTAAGTAATCAAATAATTTATATTTTATACGTAAAAACCCCTTAAGAAGGTAGTTTTTAAACATATTACTAGATTTCCAGAGAAACCTATCCCTTTTGTGCAGCTTTATTGACCTAACGAAGTCGTGTTTTATTTATAATGTTCTTTATAACTAGGTAATAAGGCGATGGGTTGAGATTCCTTAAACGTTTCTTGGTATTATTGGTCACATCTAGAATAGCTACTAGTTTATTAAGCTAATTTGGGAAGGGGAATCAGTTTATAAAGATGTATATAACTTTAAAAGGCAATTTTTAAGCAATGCTATAGGAAGAAACCGTTAAAAAACTGATATTTAATTATGGATTTCTTTGTAAATGAGTTAGAATGTATATATACTATTTCTAATCAATGTTTTATTTTGTTTTACAGCATTTTAAAGACATATTTTGTACAAAACAACATTATTAGATGGTTTGAGGATTAATAGTTCTTTAGTGGTTTTAGTTTTTTGCTAAATGTTCCAAAGATAGAATAAATTAGATTATCTAATGAATAATAGCCACATTTTCAGTCAACATCCCAGCAATTTTATAGTATTTGTTGTCTCATTTCATTAAAATTCTTCCGTGATTCTCCATATTAAACTCTTTTTCCCTCTGTTTCCATTTCAGATCTTCTCCATAGCTATTAGTGGCAACATAGCCAGCTACTTGCACCATGCCAACGATGGCTACCGCTGGCACTACAACTTCCACCTGGTCTCCTACGCGGCCACCTGCATCTTCCTGTACGCCAACATCTTGCCAGCCGTTCTGTGGGCCTTGTTTAAGTACAGCCTGAAGCCCGTGGATTCGGCGGATGCCATCGAAACGGATAGCGTAAGTTTGAGTGGGTCTTCCATCCATCCATCTCGCTCACATTCGCGTCTACTTGCAGGCCACCTATACTCCGAGTCTTCTGTCGCTGATGTGCATCTACGGATACAGCCTGGCCATCTATATACCAGTATCCATTCTCTGGGTGATTAATGTAAGGAATTATCTTTGTAAATGTAAATTGTAATATGGGGTTTCTTTAGGTAGTAGCACATTGAAGCTATCTGGCTTTAATTTTGATCCAAGCTGTATGGCTATAGATTTTGATATTGTTTAGGCTTAAAATTAATATAATAAGGGAGATTTAAAAGGCTTTAAAGTAACAGAATGTTTAAATTAAGATTTAGTAATGAAGACTTAGTTTTTAACTGAATTGTGATTAGTTTTATTTAGGTTTGCTTGTCTACTGAAGGTTAGGAAACTATATCTTTACTCTTTCTTTCGGTGGAAGTCATTAGAGGATCCTCAAAAGGATGTTTTTGCTTGATACTGCTTTATAAGATACATTGAAAACGACTTTTATAATTATAATCAAAGCATTTTTAAGCTGATTTACAAATGTTTATGGCCTAATATGAGTTACCTTACCATATTTCAGAAAACAGATTGATTTTGCGTACCTATGTTATATTTTATTGCCTCCTTAGTATTAAAGATATTAATGTTTATTAATTCCCAACAGATCTCCTTGCTGCAGTGGATCTTGGTGATCACCGCCGCCCTGCTCTCGGGCACGGTTCTGATTGCCGTGCTGACTCCAGCTCTGCGGAACTCGCAGTTCTCGCTGTTCCTCATCATCGGGATCCTGAGCGCCCATGTGGTGCTGGCTGCCGGATTCATGCTCTACTTCTTTCACAATCCCCCAGACTCGCTGGCTCCAGTTGGAGCTGCTCCGACACCAGCTGCGCCTGCTGTTCCGGCTGCCCTGAAAGCCGTGACCCAAGCGGTCGTCAATGCGGTGCCCGGCAATCAGACCCACTAGAAAGCATTCCGCAACAGCCAGTTCGTCAACGTCGCTGACATTTGTTGTACCTTAAGTTGTCCTTATTATAATATTCGTTAAAGAGCTATGCCTAGGGCTCAGATGGTTAGGGTTTAATCCATTTTGTAATCCCCTGCCACATCTGAGCCCAAGCAGTCCGCGTTTCGTGCTTTGTATTGACTTTCTATAACATTTGGCGACTGTATATTTATATTAAATTAGAGGTAGAAGTACGTGTAATACCAAAAAAGAAACAAAAAAAAGCAAAAATCGATAGAACTTTTCGCTGGTGTAGTAAAAAATTTAAAATTTTTGTCTAAGGTTGGAGAACGACAAAAGAATATGATAATCATGCCATCATTAAAATTGTAAATATAATCCAATGTACTTAAAATGATTCTTTACTTGGTTATTAAGGGATTTTTATTAAGAAATTTGTTTACTTTTTCGTTTAACTATCTTTGTTTATTATATATTTACCTATCATTTAAAGGTATACTACCATATCAACTTTTCCCGATGATAGGTTTATTTCTTGGCACCCGCTATCTTGGCTAGAATAAATTATACTTTTCCCACCATCATCCATATGGTGAACGTCCTTTCAGCGGAAGAAATGGAATAGAAAAGGTGGTGTGGAATGGGGGGATGCTGAGTTTGGTTTTGGTTTGTTTTCGGTTTTAGGTTTTCGGGGAAGTTGGGTGGTTTTTTCGTTGCTTTTTTGGGTGGCTGCACGGGTTTTTGGCCAGTCACTGTCGTCACATACACATTCACTCGTACATATATCTATATGCAGGGTTATGTGGATAATATCGGGGGACCTCGGGGGCTTTTCATCGTTTTTGCTGCTGTTTTTCATGTTTCGGGCTTGCTTTGAGTTTCATGCGCTTGGTGTATTTATTCGGGCAATGTGGAAATTATTCGAAGCGCAGGATGCTGAGAACAGGGTGATTTTTCAAAATGGTTGGGATATGTCCTAACACATTTTTAAGGGTTTTAAAAAGAAAAGATTTAAATGATTTAAAAATGTAACAAAGGATTATTATGGAATATGTATGTGTTCTTTATCATCTGTATACATTTTTATAAGGTTATCCTAACACATTTTAAAGAAAATAAAAAGATATATATGATCTATAAAATGTACAAAGGATTATTATGGAATATGTACATATGTATTATTTATCATCTTTATATATTTCTATAATGTTATCCGAACACATTTTAAAGAAAATAAAAAGATATATATGATCTATAAAATGTACAAAGGATTATTATGGAATATGTATGTATTATTTATCATCTTTATACATATTTCTAAGGTTAGCCTAACACATTTTAAAGAAAATAACAAGATTTTTATGATATAAAAAAATTTAAAAGGATTATTATGGAATATGTATTTGAATATATTTTTTATTTATAAATCTTTTTAATAATTAATATTATATATTTCATTAATCAACTAAAACTTTACTTGTAAATTCTGTTTTTAAAATTTAATGTTTGGTAACTTAAGGACACCCCTTATAAGGTTTGGTATGTAATTCACGTACATAGGACTCTATTTCACATATATGTAGTGTTTATGCATGTATGCGGGCGTCTGCTTATGTGTGAAAATGTTTGTATGTATGTGTTCAGGATACTTGCACCCACGCACATTTATAGAGAGAAAATTTCTCAATTTCAAATGCAAATATTCGCATAACGCATCGTTAGATTTGACATTTTATTTATTCGTTTTATGCAAGTGAGATGGGTGTACATGGCTCATCTTTCTCACACCTTTTGCCGGTTTTTTCTGTGTAAAAACAAAACCCATTTACTGACGACGATAAATACATAGACGTGGTGGGGTGCACAGTTTGGATTTCGGGGCGTATACTTGATGTCAGAAAAAGGTCTTAAATACGATAGTTCTGGGGTAAAAATTAAAGAATTTTCATTTTAATAGAAAACAATGCAGTGAAAATTGTGTAATCTAAATAAATATATTTAATTTAAATTTAAAAACATTTTTAAATGTCAGAAGTTCTTTTGTTCTTAAAGGAAATGGTAAAAAGTTCTATCAATGAAACTAAAATATTATTTTAATTTGATTTTACTTTCTTAACTGCATATTTTGATTTTTAAACATTTTATTTAAGGAGAATACCCTTCATTGAGGAACAAATAACAATGCTATAGACATTTCTCCCTGTGTATGTGTGTCGAAACGCATAAATATCTCGGTGCCGTATTATATATGGCCACTGATTCGATCGATTTGTGGTGGCATATAGATTAACTGATTTGCCATTCAGCTGATTAGCATTCAAGTGGGTGGATGCGGGCGCCGGAAACGGAAGTCACTCGATGGCTGTTAAAAGTTTTTCGCCTCGTTCTCTGTCTTTTGTTCCTTTTATTTATCCGCTGGCACTTTTTGTTTTTTTGGGGGAAGGAGTGGAATTAGCTGATGTGCAGCGACTTGTGTGATTCCTTTTTTGTTGCCTCTTAAAGCAATTACGCCATCCTTTTAGCTCTACATCCCTTTAACTTTCCTCTTTCTCTTTGTACACAGATGTGTGCACTGAAAAAAATTATAAAAATCCTTTTTTTTGGAATTTTTGATATTTCTGATCTAAACATTTATAATTTATTTAAAATTGTTAGAATTATCCGATTTAAAAATCATTGTAAGCGTAAATTAATTAACTCAATGATTTTTTTTTTAATGAGAGGGTTTAATAATTAATATTAGAAAGTAATATTTCCTAATCTTTAAATTCACATATATTTCCCGCAGTGTACTTTTATGTCAGTTTGAGTGTGTGTGTGAGTGACTTAACCCCTTTGAGCCGCCCTCGTAATGCATTTGAAGCGTTAAAACGCCACTTGAGTGAGGATGTTTGGTCCCGGCAAGGAGCTGCACACTGTATGGGTTAAGGGGCTGGAGGGTCAAGGAGGTGGAGGGTTAAGGCTGCCTGCAGAAGTGCATATGCTAATTGGTAAGTGCACGGCTCAACGAGCACCTGTTGAAGTCAGCATCTCTTTCCTTTAGAATTTCACAAGCAGATGCGGACTTGAAGACCTTATAAGCATATGTACCTCCCCCATTTGGGAAAAAATCTTTTAATAAAGATTTCCGTCTATTTTACCCGTAATCAAAAAATAAATTCAAGAAAACGATGTCCTATAGAATGCAACTCAATTTTATATGTATCTGCCATCTTTTTGGGTTACGCTTTAAGCTAAATAAAAACCAAAAAGGGATAGTTTCAATTGACTAGGGTTTATATATTATATAAATATTGATAATATAATAGCCACAGTACCTTTTTTTGTAACAATAATTGTAAAATTGTTGATTTTAATAACAGAAAATTGTAAATATACCAAATTTAAGCGACTTGAAAGGCACATTTAAGTGATTTTATAATTTAAATCCTAAATTAACAATAAAAATTAATATTTTTTTATTCAACAGCAAATTACAAATCAAAAGTAATAATAACTTAATCAAAATTATACTCAAATCTAACTCCATGACATAATATAAATATAAAATATATATTAAATACCTATCTATAAAGATTAAGTAGATAGTACCACCTAATATTATTTATATATAAACGTTTAAGGACTTTCTTAAATAATGGTAATTTTCCCAAGCTTAATATGACATCTAGAATGACATCACCACAACGAAGTAATTTTTTTATTTAAAATTGGAACCAAGAGCTTACATTTTCCAGCCGAACGATTCGGAACCAAAGTGATTTCTTTATGGGATAAGAAGTCCTTTGAATCTTGTAAGAATATTGATTTATTTTGTTTGCGTTCGGCTTAAGGGAGCTTAGTGTGTGGTGAGAGCCTCAAAAAGCGGGGGATTGGTTAAATAGTTTATATTTGGGATCCTTGTTACCGGTTGTTATTGGGTTAATTCTGCAATCCTCTTCCCCAACTTCCCGGGTTTTCGTCCTTTTCCCTTTTCCCCCGGTGCCAACGTGACTGCTCGTTCTTATTTTCATCTATTTTGTGAATATCCTGGGGCCCCACCACCACCACCACAACACACACATACGGTGCTCAGCAGGATGTGCTGTGCCACGCCCCCAACCGCCCAACTGCCCTTACACCCCCATGCACTCAATTAAGTGAGTGAGTGTGGGTGTGTGCATGTGTGCATGTGTGCATGTGTGCATGTGTGTGTGTGGGTGGGAAGTCCTCTGTTGACTTGAGAACTTGGCACAACTTTTGCGTACGAGTTGGCCGACTACGTGACAGAGGTTGCAAGTGCCCCTTGCTGTGCTTTTAGGACCCCCTTTGCTTACCCAAGCAGGCCTGCTATTTACACAACCGACACACCCCAAAAAATAATAGTTGTTATGATAGCAAGACTCGCAACTTGTTTGCGTAAATATGTTCTCTATTAAAGGAAAACAATTTAAGAATTTTAATAAACATGTTCTATTTGTTTCAATCATGAGCCAATGCTAACCAAACTAAAAATCACAGATAAAATATTTATTTTTGTGATTAAGACTAAGTTTTGATTAAGTTGGGGTAATGTTTTTTGAAGAAACTCCTTTGGATATATTTTAAGAATTATTTTATATAATTATTACCTTTTATTTGATTTCATTATTATTATTTATTTGATATAGGCTAAGTTTAGAGTAGGTAAGGGTTATATTTTTGACAAAACTTTATTGGAATCATTTTAAGAATCATTTTATTGAATTTTCTTAATGCTAGAAATTTTAAAATCTAACAATTATATTGTTTTGGGGCCCAGGGTCTATAAATTCCTGTAAAATTGCATTTTTTGGGTGTCTAAAAGTATGCAACAATAAATTTTTAAGTCCAAACTATTCACTGCATACTCTTAGACACCTAAAATGACATGAAAATAGATTTCAAAACCATAGTGATTTGTGTGCCACCTGAATATAAATTAAACTAAATAAAATAACTTGAACTTTTTAATAATAGTAGAAAGTTATGAACGCAAAGAACAATATCAATATAAGAATGTATCTATAGCTACACTTAAATACGATTCAAATTAAATGTTGAGCATGGAGTTGATACATATATTTGTAGATAAACTTTAATCAATTTTCACTACGTGTTCATTCCCCCAGAACTCTTATTTATTTTGACTTTAATTTAATTAGTGTGTAAAATGAACTAAATAAAGTAAATACAACTTTTGAATAATAATATAGTATGTAACGACAATATCGTTATAAGTATTTTCTATAGCTAGTCCTAAATACGATTTCAATTAAATGTTTAGAATGGAGTAGTTACATATTTTTGTTAGATAAACTTTAACCCGTTTTCTCTAGGTGTTCATTCCCCCCAGAATTCTTATTTATTTTGACTTAAAGGCAGTCGTCTTAAAGTCGTTGCCCCCACCTCCATTGCCATTTCCAATTGACCATTTATGGGTATATATCTAAGTCTATATCTCCGGGGGAGTGTACGTGGGCCAAGTAGAATTTGCCGGCCGGCCGGTCTCTGTGCTTTTGGGGCGTGTTCGGCGCCCAGTTTGACACAATTTCGAATGCCGCCGCCCATATGCAGAAATTGCTCCATTTTCGCAGCGGCGGATAAGTCTACACGACCCCGGGAAAATTCTCCAGCGGGACAGCGCCCCTACGAGAGCTTTTCCGAGCTTTTCATCGGGGGTGGCCAATTGCACATCCTTCGTCCTCGGGCTCCACACCATTATATCCCATATACCATATCCCATCCCATCTATGTATCCTATACGGGATTTGGTTTAGATAATCACTGGGATTTTCTAAAGTACGGGCGTATAGTATGAGGATAGGGGGAACATGCACACATAATTTCATTATTTATTTTAATTAATTGAAAATGTTTAAAAGCCGGCGGCTCCCCGATGACCCTAATGCAAAGTAAGCTCACTAATTGCAATTGACTTCAAGGGAGCCCTCAACTTAAAGTGGAATAATGCAAGTGGATTGTCTGAGGGTGCAATCTATGTTTATATTTTCGGAGCTAAGTACTTGGTAGTTTGGCATTTTACGAGTAAAAGTTTTAATTGCAGATACTACACCAAGCATTTGTGTTCATGAGGGCTTATCTATTACTTTAATAAATTTTTGCCAGGCTATAAGTATATTAAGAACTCATTCAACTAACTAACTCATGTGTGTGCAGTGAAAATTTGTTAGCGGTGCCATAGAAATCGCTGGTGTTTTAAAATCACTTTAAAAAGTCATTTTAGGTGTCTAAAAGTATGCAGTGAATAAAGAATAATCGTCTTCCTGAATGAATTCATTGCACTTGTGAGTTGAACATATATTGTTGCATACTTTTAAACATATAAATATGACATTTGAAAGTGATTTTAAAATCCAAATATTTTCAACCCTAAAGCTTTAGTTTTAATTTAATGCAGGTATTGTTTTTAATTTTTTTTTTAATAAATATAAGAGTGATAAAAAAAAAATATTTTAAACTCTATTGAAAAAATAATTTTAGGAAAAAGTAAGTAAGAAGTATTTGCAATTTTAACTAAATAAATGGGTTGTTGTACAACATATTTTCCCATAATAAAAATACACTTTAGACTTACATTTCCGTGGGTATAGAACTTGCAGCTTTAAATAGGTATTTTCCATTTTTATGTTTAGCCAAAGCCAACATTTTTCTATTTGTTTTGTGGTATATCTCACAATTTATTTAATATTACAATATTCTGTGGCAAGACTGCTAAAAACCAGCACATTATGAATTCATTTGTGAACATTAATATTTGATCAGCTCCTATTTTGGCAAATTGAGTCCTCAGATGAACATGAATTGCACTGCAAATATTCGCTCTGTCACCGTCTCTTTCTAAATATATGTAGCCGTCTCTTTCTACTGCGCCCGTATCCTGAGACAAAGTCTTTCAATTAATTTCAAATGGGAATGCACCGAAGCTCAATGCAAACATTTGCACAATTTCAAATCGCTTTTGCCGCTGCTTTTGCTCTGCTTTATTTCCCACCCACTGTTTTAGCTCCCCACCTTCGTTTCCTCATTTTTTGCACATAGAAAAATATATTTGCCTGAATTATTGAGTTTATAAATTAAAAGAATTCAGGTAAGAAATTTAAAACTAGCTTTTGAAAATATTGTTGTATATATGTAACACGATATAAATATTTAACTAATGATTGTCGAATTTCATACCTATCATTTTTAATAAGATCAAGGTATTAGAGTATTTAAAACAAGAAAATTAAAGCCCCGTGAAGCTTGCAGTAGTAAATGTAATGATTGTATTTATAAAATATACTTAGCAACGAAATAAAATATCATTATGCGACTATAATTTTTCGAATTTCATTCCTATTATTTAAAGTCAGATGAAAATCATAAAGGAAAAAGAAATTAAAATCTACATAAAATTAATTGTCATAAAAAATATTAAAAAATATACAAAGAAAGAAAAATTAAACAAATATGACTATAATTTTTCGAATTTAATTCCTGTTATTTTAAGTTAGACTAAAATCATGTTGGATTATGAATAAGAAAATTAAAATTCCCTCAAATTAAGTATCATAAAATAAAATTATAAAATATATCAAGCAAGAAAAATTAAATATATGACATTATTGTTTGGATGTTTTACCTATTATTTTAAATTAGATGAAATTCATAGAGGATTTTGAAAAGGAAAATTAAAACGCCATAAAGTGTAGTATCATAAACAATATTTATAAAATATATTAAGCAAGAAAAAAAAAATATGACTATCATTTTTCGAATGTCTTACCTATTATAATATAATGCTTTGTTTTTTTCCCCATATATCATAATACATGGGTCTGTTATTCGATTTAAATACCGCTTAATAACCTCAGCTTTTCAGCTTTTTCTTTGAAAGGTCTTACTATTTTATTTAATTTTAGTTCATCCCTGATTTTAATTTAGAGAAATCGAAAGCTTGAACCTATTTTGCAAGTGTTCTATCCTGTTGTTTTTGAGAGTTGCTAGCAGCTGAAATTACACAGATTACAAGGGATATAGACGACGAGCTGTTGGCACACATTCTGCGAAACCACCACGTTGCCACGCCCCCGATGGGCGAGGAAAATGCATTTTCAAATTATTTCGAAGCCGCGCTTTTGGAGAGAATTTTCCGCTGGTCCGGAGAGTTGGAGCCGAGTGGGAAAATGGGATCGAGAAGGGCGATGGACGTGGTCGGAAAAGCTGTGCCGAAAAGCTTTGCTCGTGTTCGAATTGTAGGTGCGCTGCGTTTTCCGTGAAAAGTCTCCTCAAAACAGGATGCGTTGACGTCGCTGCCGGCGTCGCAGTCGCTGCGGAAAAGCGCCACTCTCTCTCTTATTTTCCGGGAAAATTCAGTACGAGTCAAGCAGTCTTCGGCGCATCCAGCAAACGCGGTTCTTTTTTAAGCGCGTTTTCGTATTATTCTACTCATATGATTTATCATTTGCGTCGCTATATGATTTCTCCTTGTTTCCGTAGTATGAAAAGCAACTACTACTAACAACAAAAAAAAAACAACCAAATAAAATCCACAAAAAAATATTAGGCAAAAGTTTAAGGATTGACGAGGACGTAGACGAAGAAGGCGGAGGAGCACCAAACACGACCTGCTTGAGAGAGAAATATTCCTGGGGAATACCGGCCTACAAGGACCACCGTTGTCCTTCCTGTCAGTCAGTCAGTACGTCCCCAAGCACTTTTTTATATCTTTTTGTATATGTGTGTGAGTGTGAGAGTGAGATCGGCGATCGCAAAGATATAAATGTATCCCAAAAGAACCGGCTCTTAGAGATCACTTTACTTTGATAAGCTCAAGCTGAGGTTAGGATCTGAAGCTCAAGTTAGATCCTAGAAAAGGTATAGGCAAATATAATAAATGTCAATCAAGTGAGTACAAAACTGTCCAACGTAAAAAATTCCCACATTATTACACAGCAAGAAAATATGTATTTTTATAGAATTAAATTATTATTATACTTACTCAAAGGGGATTTATATTTAAACATATACAAATTTTTAATTTATGTAAAATGTAAGGTTAGTTACATTTTTAAAATACTTTTCAAGCTCATAAAAATGTAAAAAAAATTTTAGATAACTTTTCAAGATCAGCAGAGGTAACTGCAATTTGAAAACGAATTTATAAAGATTTGAATCACATAAAAAAAAGTAATGTAGTATTTATTTTTTATAAATATTAAAATGTTATTTAGATAATCTAGCTTGAGCTTTTAAAGAACCGGAGACTTAAAATTTTTAAAAATATCAGCTGTTTGTCATTCTTTGTTTCATCAAGTATATATTTCATATCTTGTTGTAAAAAAATGTATCTGTTTTGTACCCATGTTCTTATAAATCCATTGTGTAATAGAAAAATGGGAAAAAAAATATATTACTTGAAAGATAATTAATGAGAGCTTAAATTTTGCAAATAAATAACATTATATGGTAAAACCTAAAATCACAGCAATCTAATTTAAACTTACCCAAATTTAGGTTAATTTTGATTTGTTTTTTCCAGTGTACCTATTTTGTATGTACGTGAGAAAGGGTGTGGCATCGACCTAATTACCTCTATCCAAAATTCGGGTACTTAAAATTTATAAACATTTTCACTTCTGATTTCTTTGCAGCCAATTCAGAGCGTATTAACACAAAAGTCTGCTGGCAGCAATCAACTTTAAGCCAAAATTATAAAAAAATCTCAAACAAAATTGTTAAACAAGAAATTGCATACAACTATCATCACAATTTTCCAATGTTTTAATTCTTGTGTTGTTGACTGATGCAAAGATAAAAGACCAAATTCGTTAAGGAAAAGCAATTCTCCCACACAAACAAAGTATAGTAAAATAAAAATAAACAAGTATAAAGTAACTAATTTTTATTCAAACATAAATTTGATTTTGGTAAATGTGCGCTAGCTAGAACCATATTATATATATATATATATATTATATATCTAGTCGGATAACATTTGATTACCTACGTCGGTGAGTGTCTAGCCAATCAATCTATACCCTATAGGAACCATATATACCACAAGGTTTTATACTGAATTTATAAAATTTTGGGTAAGGGCGCAGTGCGCATCGAAAGGCCCCATCAAAAGCAGCAACACCAAAACTCAATATAAACCAAGAAAAATACCATAAGCAAGTGTTTTTTTTGTCGCAAATAAATAAATTTACATATTTACACATAAATGGAAAGAAGTTAAACAAAAGTAATATTAAAATAAAGACTTGAATTTCTCAAAGAAATTAATATTTATACAAGAACAAGCGAAGAAGTTTAAGAATAACAAGAAAAAAACGGACTTCCAACGATTTCAAAATACGACGAAATATTTTTAGAGCAAGAACCCTGCAACAAGCTATGATAACAAAAACAATGCAAATCGGTTAACAAAATAATTGCCAAATCTATGTATGAATCAAAAACAAAACAAATAATACGGAATTAAAGCAAACTTAATGAGAAATCAAACGTCGAGCTACAAGAATTTATACTGAAAATAAAAACAATGGAGTAAAGAATTTGAGGAGAACCAAAAAAGGACAAGTGCAAAAAGCGGATTTAGGGGAAAAGCGAGGGGAGAATCGAGATCGACATAGATCAGCTGTAAAGTGATATTTTATAAAAACCGAAAATATCAGTTAAGGACAACGACTTATAAGGTAAGATTTAAATTTAATATTAACAATATTTAATAAATAATTAGAAGTATTTAATTTAATACAATTTTGTGGAGATTTTAAACAATATAACATTTAAGCCTAAAAGTAGGCAGTAAAATGTTACATTTGTTATAAAATGAAGTCAGACCAAAATTCAGATTTTTCAACACCACTAAATTCCATTGAAATGAAGATCAAATAAAATTCAAATATTATTATATACAAATTATTTAAGACTTCAGGAGAGCTAAAACAAATCTTAAACATTTTGAAATCACTTAAAAAGGTGTCTAAAAGTATGCAGCGAAAAAAAGAAAGTTGTGTATTGTGTTGCATACTTATAGGCACCATTCCACAGGGTTTTGATAGCCATTGTTTATAACACACCGTTAAAGAAATAATCAGCGATTGTTTAATTTTCGCTTGTAACAATAGACCCAAAAATAATTGAAATTGTGAAAATTGCGAAATTGGCAATTGCAATTTCCCCCATTTTGCGGCGGTCTGTCTATCGCCATTCCACTTGCTCGAATTGCTGTTTACACTTGAGCTCTTCGACGAGCAATTTGTGCATTAATTGTGTTCGCTGATTGCATTGTTGTTTCATTGATGATGATTGCCCCGCCTCCCTGCCACGCCCCCCACTCAATCAATCATTCCCCCTCCACCCCTCCCTCCCCACTCGTTGCCATGATTGCATCCACACGGATACGGGGCCAGACATACACATATATCCTCGATATCCTGACAGGCACACAATCACATAATGGCCGGGCCGCCATTTTCCCACACTCTACACCATCGCCGATTTCATGGCAATTTTATCGATTTTTAAATTGGCACAAATTAATCGAGAAAATCGTATTTGTGCACTCGGAACTGGCAGTCACGTTGCAAAATTGCATATCGAAAGTCGCAAAATTTGGTTAGTACAAATTTTCTAAATTTTTGGGGAAAATTATTTATGATTTCTATTTTATATCCTTGCAGAGGGTTTTACGATTTCAGTCAGAGAATAAAGAGGGGACCTTTTTGACTCTATAAAGTATGTATATTCTTTCCCTTCATTTGTCCGTTTCTACGCAAACTAACCTCTCAGTTTTAAAGCTATGGAAACGAAACTTCCCCAAAAGTCTTTCCCTTTTGCAGGTATTATAAAAGATGGATCGGACAACTATATCCTAAAACTACCATACGAACGATCGAAAATATAACAGAAGAAAGATTCTAGCTTCGATGTTTTTAGTCATATGACTATATTCTACAAATGGCATACAGCTGCCATAGGACCGATCAAAAAAATTAGTGAGAAAATAATATTAAACAAATTATAGCTTCGTTGCTTTTGATTATATTATCTTCTACTCTGGGGATAGAATTGTAAGATTTTATAATTTTTTTTAATGTAAGAGTTTGAAGACTATCATATGTATTTCATTATATATTGAATTTTTGATTTACTTTTTAAATGATTATCAAACTGCACATAAGCATTTTTTTTAATTTCAAATCCAGTTCCAGTTCAGTTGTACCAAGATGCTCAAAACAGTCGGTATTTAAGCTGTACGCCTTGATTTGGCTAAACTACGACTGAAAAACCACGAAAAAATGATTATTTTTGACCAAAATCTAAATCCCAAAAATAACTGATGCACCCCCTTATAAAAAATGCGAAAATGGGTCAAAAAATAAATGTTCCTTAAAGTGATGGGGATCGATAGCATTTTTAGCAAGCTGCTCAAAACAGTAGGTCTTTTAGCTGTACGCCTTGATTTGGCTAAACTACGGCTGAAAAACCACCAAAAAATGAGTATTTTTGACCAAAATCTGAATCACAAAAATAACTGATAACTGATAAAAAATGCGAAAATGGGTTAAAAAATAAATCTTCTTCAAAGTGATAGGGATCGATAGCATTTGTAGCAAGCTGCTCAAAACAGTAGGTCTTTTAGCTGTACGCCTTGATTTGGCTAAACTACGGCTGAAAAACCACCAAAAAATGAGTATTTTTGACCAAAATCTGAATCACAAAAACAAGGAAGAACGCTATAGTCGAGTACCTCGACTATCAGATACCCGTTACTCAAAGGGAAATGGAGATATGCAAGCAGCAAAGCGAAATTAAAATGCGCCACCTACCGGCGGTAGACAGATTTAAGCGTTATGGGCGTTAGAGTGGGCGTGGCAAATTTATTTTTGGATCAATCGATAGGTATTGACGACACCAATACATTTCAGTTCAAATTTTTCATCTAGCATCCAAATTGTGGGCGTCACAGGTTTTCGCGGTTTGTGGGCGTTAAAGTGGGCGTGGCAAACTTTTTTTTAGGTCAATCGATAGGTATTGATGAGAACAATACATTTCAGTTAAAATTTTCTATCTAGCATCAAAACTGTAGGAGTTTCAGTTTTGGGCGGTTTGTGGGCGTTAGAGTGGGTGTGGCAGTCTACTGAAACAAACTTGCGCTGCGTAAGAAGCTCAGGAATCTGTACGCCAAATCTCAATAGCCTAACTCTCATAGTTTCCGAGAGCTCAGCGTTCATCCGGACGGACAGACAGACGGACAGACGGACAGACGGTCAGACGGACAGACGGACAGACGGACATGGCTAGATCGACTCGGCTAGTGATCCTGATCAAGAATATATATACTTTATGGGGTCGGAAACGCTTCCTTCTGCCTGTTACATACTTTCCGACGAATCTAGTATACCCTTTTACTCTACGAGTAACGGGTATAATAACTGATAACTGATAAAAAATGCGAAAATGGGTTAAAAAATAAATCTTCTTCAAAGTGATAGGGATCGATAGCATTTGTAGCAAGCTGCTCAAAACAGTCGGTCTTTTAGCTGTACGCCTTGATTTGGCTAAACTACGACTGAAAAACCACCAAAAAATGAGTATTTTTGACCAAAATTTGAATCCCAAAAATAACTGATGCACCCCCTTATAAAAAATGAAAAAATGGGTCAAAAAATAAATGTTCCTTAAAGTGATGGGGATCGATAGCATTTTTAGCAAGCTGCTCAAAACAGTCGGTCTTTTAGCTGTACGCCTTGATTTGGCTAAACTACGACTGAAAAACCACCAAAAAATGAGTATTTTTGACCAAAATTTGAATCCCAAAAATAACTGATGCACCCCCTTATAAAAATGCGAAAATGGGTCAAAAAATAAATGTTCCTTAAAGTGATGGGGATCGATAGCATTTTTAGCAAGCTGCTCAAAACAGTCGGTCTTTTAGCTGTACGCCTTGATTTGGCTAAACTACGACTGAAAAACCACCAAAAAATGAGTATTTTTGACCAAAATTTGAACCCAAAAATAACTGATGCACCCCCTTATAAAAAATGAAAAAATGGGTCAAAAAATAAATGTTCCTTAAAGTGATGGGGATCGATAGCATTTGTAGCAAGCTGCTCAAAAAAGTCGGTCTTTTAGCTGTACGCCTTGATTTGGCTAAACTACGACTGAAAAACCACTAAAAAATGACTATTTTTGACCAAAATCTGAATCCCAAAAATAACTGATGCACCCCCTTATAAAAAATCCGAAAATGGGTCAAAAAATAATATTTCCCTGGAAGTGATGAGGATCGATAGCATTTGTAGCAAGCTGCTCAAAAAAGTCGGTCTTTTAGCTGTACGCCTTGATTTGGCTAAACTACGACTGAAAAACAACGAGAAAATTAGTATTTTTGACCAAAATCTGATTCCCAAAAATAACTGATGCACCCCCTTAAAAAAATTTCGAAAATGGGTCAAAAAATAAATTTCCCTGGAAGTGATGAGGATCGATAGCATTTGTAGCAAGCTGCTCAAAAAAGTCGGTCCTTTAGCTGTACGCCTTGATTTGGCTAAACTACGTCTGAAAAACCCTTAAAAATGAGTATTTTTGACCAAAATCCGAATTTCATGTCTAGTCCCAAAATGTATTAAACAATAAGAAAAAACAAGAAATTATTATTTTTGTTTATTAATCGTTTGCCAACCGCTGACGTTTTGACCGATTCAGGGGGCTTCCGTTGAGGACAGTTCGAATTTGATTAATCGGAAATTTAGGAAAAACGTGCCAAATACACCACTCTTCGCAAAGGCTGCTGCTCAAACGCTTCCAACTTGACGGCTTCTAATCCAAAATTTCGATGGCACAATTGCGGGCTGAAGGTCGACTGGCAATGTCCAAAACAAAAATTTTATTTTGTAGGCATTTCTCATTAATTGCTCTACGTCCTCGGCGGGGACATAGACTACAATTTCAACGTTCTCAATATCCCTGAAGGCTACATTTTGCACACGTTCTTCACCGTGCTTGGCCACGCACCACTTTTTCACAGTTAAGCCGATGTTTTGCTTTTGGATAATTTCGAATGACCGTTTTAGATCTCCGTTATCGGCCATTGGAAGTACGAATGAGATGGCTTTTATTTCGGTGTAACGAACAGTTTCTTCCGAGTCACTAGCGTTAAGCGGTTCCATTGTCACGTGTTGATCAGAAAATTTTGAACCAAAATATATTTGTGTAGAAAAATGTTATCGAAATAAAAGTTAGAAAAATACTCTTGAAAATTTTCAACTTAACACTCAAAAGTACAAGTGTACTAGTCTGTACAGATGCTTTTGTAAGAATGAGCCTGAAAAGTTCACAGCCTAGGCAAATAGGGAAACGGTGAAGTCACAGCTTACTTTTCAGAAAAATTTTGAAAATATAAGAAACTTGGGTACTGAATGAGAAAACAGAAAAAAAAAACAAGAGGGAACGCCTAAGGACCGACTTAAACTATTATCGCCACCCAGATGGATACTGACAAGTGAAGAAAAGTAAAAATTACACAGAAAAATAATCTTTTTTTTTGGATCCGTATTAAAAATGTAGGCGCCACCTAGCGGTGAAAACTTTCATTGCTCATAGCTTTTTAATGAATGGTCCGATTTGAAAATTCTTATGGACGGTTAGCTGGATATTGATAATCAAAGCAAGTTCTCATTTACACTCT